TCCACAAGTAAAAATAAAAATAAATCCTAAAGTAAACAAAAAAAGCCTGAAATATGAAAAATTTGGCAACAAATTTTCAACTTCAGTTTAAATTTAACTAGACCAGTATGGTTCATTGCTACCACATGGGATACCAGAACCCTAAAATTGCGTCGTTAAGTAACAGATTTTGGTATTTTTAAGTGGCTTGGATAGGCATGATTTAAAAAAATGCATTTTTTGGAACCCAGTGTAGCAGTATAGGTTTATAATCCCAGCAGTCAAGGATGTTGGGGCTAGGAGAATTGTGAATTCAAGGCTAATCTGGGCCGCATAGTTAATGCCAGCAAACAAACGAATGTGCTGTTTACTTGTGGTTTTCAGCAGTGGAAGTGAAGCCATTAGGCAGCATCTACTGTTTTCTTTATACTTACAAATAGAAAGAATTTGGTTTGCTGGCCGAGGTGGCACACACCTTTAATCCCAGCATTTGGGAGGCAGAGGCATGCAGATCTCTGTGAGTTCAAGGCGAGCTTGGTCTACATGGCCAACTCAGGCTACAGCGAGAACCTGTCTCTGAAAGAGCAAATAAAGGGCTGGAGAGATGGCTCAGCGGTTAAGAACACTGACTATTCTTGCAGAAGACCCGGGTTTGAATCCCAGCATCCTCATGGCAGCTAAAAACGGTCCGTAACTCCAGTTCCAGGGGATCCCACAGCCTCTTCTGTCCTCCAAGGGCATTGCATGACATGGGTGCACTTACCTACATGCAGGCAATACACACATACACATAAAAATAAAAAAAAATTTTAAAAACAGGCAAAAAATTGGATCTTAGGAAAAAAAAATAACATTTCACAATAAAAAAAATTACATGGTTCTGAATGTTTTAGAGTAGGAAACTATTTTCTCTCTTCCTTCATGACTTTTAAAGATCATCCAAACTCTTCAAATCCATGAATTCCAATTAAGATCCTTTGCTTAGGGCAGTTTGGTATTTTCAGTTAATTTTAGCTAAAGTGTATAGAACAGGTTAATTTTTAAAAGTTATTTCAAAAAAGTAGTGGGTGGGGGCACCAAACAAAGAGTAGTTATAATTAGGTAGAGAAAAGAAGTGACTAGAAAGGCAAGACTTTGAATATTTTCACTAAAAAGAAATAATAAATGCTTGTGGAGATAGGTCCAATCTGATTTAAATATTTAATATATACACATATTCAGGGACTGGAGAAATGGCTTAGTGGTTAAGAGCACTGGCTCCTCTTATAGAGGACCTGGGTTCAATTTCTAGCACTCACATGGTAGCTAACAGCTGTCCATAACTCCAGTTTCAGGAAATCTGACACCCTTTTTTGACCTTCGTGGGCATTGCACAACATGGGTGCCCTTACATACATGCAGGAAATACACTCATACACATAAAATAAAAATAATAAAAAAAATACACATTAAAACCTCATATGGTACCCCATCAGTTTATATAGTTTTTATGTATTTGTTAAAAATTTTAAAGGTAGAATGAAAAAATTAAAGTTATTTTAGTTGGTAAAAAGTTTTCAAAACTCTTATTTAATTTTAAGTATTCAGGGTATGCCCATACTTAACATAAAATATTAAATATAAACAAATGAATACGTATCTCCCCCCCCTTAGTGGAGTTAAATAATTAAAATATATAAAAAGGAAGCTTGGGATTATTGAATTTTTTCTTCTTGAGAGAGGGTCTGAATATATAGCCCTAACTAGCCTGGCTCTCAGAATGTAGACCAGGCTGGTCTCAAACTCACAGAGATCCACCTACCTCTGCCTTCTGAGTGCTGGGATTGGTATGCTTTTCTATATTAGTGGTCAAGTTCAGTAATCACTTCATTTCTCATTCCTTACTGTCCTGGGTTTTTTGGTGTCTTTATATTCACTGCCTTCAGTTTACCCTTTCAAGTTTGAGTATCCCTTTGTCCCACCTTTCCTCTTTTGCATCATCACATTCTGTCAGTTCGCTACCACTCTAACTCTACATGTTTACATATGAACACATACTTTCCACCAATTGACCGTCTGTGGTGGAAGAATTACATATTAGAGTCTTGGGCTATGGAAAGTAAATTTGTTTCCTTGTTTTATCCATATTTTCCATTTATATATTTGTTTTAATACTAACTTTAAATTCTAATCAACTTGGTGAAAGATTCAGTTTGGCAAAATGTTTAAAGTTAAGTAATAGAATTTAAAAATTATAATTCTTTTTCTTTTAAAGAAACTTGGTGAGGATGAAGAGGAGCTGTCTGAATTACAACTTCGTCTTTTAGCTCTTCAATCAGCCAGTAAGAAATGGCAACAAAAAGAACAGCAGGTGATGAAAGAAAGCAAAGAAAAACTGACCAAGACAAGAACTGTACAGCAGAAGGTTAAAACCAGTACAAAAGTACATTCAGCTAAAAAAGTTAGCACAACAGGTGATTGTTTCCCTTAAATTCTTTGAATTGAATTTAATATATCTTGCTTTTAGTTTTTCATTCAGGGAGTTTTGATACTGGAAGTTACAGAGTCCAAATTGGAGGATAGTTTCTTTTTTTTGTTTTGTTTTTGTTTTTTGTTTTGATTGGTTTTGTCTTTTTGAGACAGGGTCTCCCTGTAGCCCCAGCTGGCCTGGAACATACTGTGTAGACCAGGCTGGCCTTGAACTCACAAAGCTCCTCCTGCCTCTGTCTCTGAGTCCTGGGACTAAAGGCATGTGCCACTGCACCCAGCATTATTATTTTATGAATGGAATTTAGAGAGGAGTAACTGTATCCAAGAGTCAGTGATGAAGCAATTTTTAAATCTCATATTTTATGACTTAAAGAGTATTAACTTTTTTTTGTTTTTTTGAGACAGGGTCTCCCTATAGCCCCATCTGGCCTGGAACACACTGTGTAGACCAGGCTGGCCTTGAACTCACAGAGATCCACCTGCCTGTGCCCCAAGTGCTGGGATTAAAGGTGTGCGCCACCACGCCTGGCAAGAGCATTAACTTTTAATTAATGGGTACTGATATTTCTCTATTTCCTTGTGAAGCTAAACAGGCATTGAGGAAGCAGCAGACAAAGGCATGGAAGAAACTCCAGCAACAGAAAGAACAGGAAAGACAGAAAGAAGAGGACCAGCGGAAACAAGCTGAGGAAGAAGAGAGAAGGAAGCGAGAAGAAGAAATCCGAAAAATTAGAGACCTTTCAAATCAGGAAGAGCAGTACAATCGATTCATGAAATTGGTTGGTGGAAAGAGAAGATCAAGAAGTAAAGTAAGGAATGCAGAAATACTAAATCAAAACATTCACATTAAAAATTATTTATTTACTTATTAACTTATTGTGTGATGGGGGTGTGTGTTGGTGGGAAGGATTGTGACCATGTGTGTCATGGTGTGCATGGGGAGGCCTGAGAACAACTTTCTGAGAGTTGGTTATCTTCTTTCATTATGTGTGTCCTGGGGATCAAGCTCTGGTTGTCAGACTTGGCAGTAAGCAGCAGGCACCTTTCCTTGCTGAATCATGTTTCTGGCTCAGAATGTTCAAATTTAAGATTCCTTGTAATATTTCACAGATTCAGTCAGCTAAGGAGAACTATACCTATCTTACAATTGATAGAGCTTATATAAAAAGTTCTTTTTTTCCCGTGGAGAGGGGGAGAGTTGTATGTTGAATGACAGATTAATGTCAGGCTGTCTCATCTTTGTTTTTTTTTTGTTTTTTTTTAACATTTTAAATTTTGTTGGGGGCCGGAGAGATGGCTCAGTAGTTAAGATTAGTGACTATTCTTGCAGAAGACCTGGGTTCAAATCCCAGCACCCACATGGCAGCTAACAACTGTCTGTAACTCCAGTCCCAGGGGATCCAACAGCCTCTTCTGTCTTCCGTGGGCATTATACAACATGGGTGCACTTAACCTACATGCAAGCAGTACACGCATACACATAAAAATAATAAATAAAATATTGAAAAAGAAAAATTTTTAAATTTTGTTTGTTTTGAGACAGGGTCTTCCTATAGCCACAGCTGGCCTGGAACTTACTATGCAAACCTGCCTGGATTTGATCTTACAGAGATAGACCTGCCTCTGCCTCTCAAGTGCTAGGATGAAGGTGTGTGCCACCATGCCCTGCTTATCTTACATTTTTTAAGATGGTTCTCACTGACCCTGGAACTTGGGCTTCAGCTAGATTTGGCTGGCTACTAGCCCTAGGGATCAGCTGACCTGGAACTTGCTCTGTAGGCCAGGCTGGCCTTGAACTCACAGAGATCCGCTTGCCTCTGCTTCCCAAGTGCTGGCACTAAAGGTGTGTGCTACCACGTCCACTGGATTTAGAGGGATTGCCATGTCCAGGTGAAGCTTGTCTCTTTTCCCTGAGGAAGCTGGTGCCCAGCACAGGCAGTGGCTTGCCCAGGACCCACAGGAGTCAGGGTATGGTGACTGCCCCTAGCTCTACCTTCCCTCAACCTATAGGAGGCAGAAGACTGGGGTTTGGGTCTTTATTTCTGGATAGGGTCCCTAAACTTGTTCAGGTCTGAGAGAAGGGAGAATTTTCCTGACCTTCTCCCCTCCTCTCATGGTTCCAAAGAGTCTGTGTTTCCATATCTCCCTGCTTGGGAGTGACCCTCTGGGTATGGGTACTTTTTTTTTTTTTTTTTTTTTTTTTTTTTTTTTTTTTGTCTTTTTGTTGGTTGTCTTTTAACAGGGTCTCTCTAGTCACAGCCTATCTGGAAGTCACAGTGTGAACCAGGGTAGCCTCAATCTCGCAGAGATCCACTTGCCTTTCTAGGGCTGGGATAAAAGCACACGCCACCATGCCTGGCATGTACCTTCTTTGTACAATAAATGGTGCTGTGCCCCGCCCCTTCCTTTCCAGTCTACACATACACACACACACTAAGATACTCTAATAGAATCTTAATGATAAAATTTGCATTTTCCTTCTGATTTTGTGCCTAAGCCATAACTGTTTAATGACTTCTTATAATCTGTTTTAGGAGGAATGCCTAATTACTTAGTGGCTCAGCTGCTGGGGTGGGGGTGGGGGGTGTTCATCTGTATAGTTAATGCTGTCATATACAGTAAATGTCCCAAATTCATAGGAAAGTCTCATTGAATTATCATGAGTTTTTTTTTAATATTTGTCCCATAAAAATAGTTACCAGTTTTTTTGTGATTTGTAGCCCAAGAATAGCCTAAGACAAGAAATGCTTTGAAACTAAGAAAAACGTGTTGTATACTTAGTCTTCAGATCCTGACCTGAGACGATCCTTAGATAAACAGCCTGATAGTGGAGGAAGCATTTATCAATATGATAACTATGAAGAAGTTGCTATGGATACAGATAGTGAAACCAGTTCTCCAGGTAGGAGCCAAAGCTTTGAAACATGTTTTATTCACAATTATTAGAGAATGGTCAATTAACTACTCAAAAACTTGAAAGAAATGTATAATGAAGGTGAGATCTACTGATGGATTTTGTAGCCATACACATTTTATGTTATAAATATTTAGAGTTAAACCTCAAATGTATAGTTTTAGCTTTTATTTCCAAGTATATTTTTCTAGAGAAGCTTTAAATTAAAAAAACTTATTTTAAACTCTGTTAGCTATTTTGATCTGAAAAAATGAAGATTGTGGCGTGATAGGTTTAGCCAAAACCTTTTCTGCTTTAGTGAAAAAATAGCAGATCTCTTTTGCTTTTAGTTTTCCTAACTCCCACTAGTAATACTTAGAAAGAATTTGGAGATTGTCACAGTTTTTGTCACCTTGACCCAAACGTAGAGAGGGAATTTCAAATTAAGGAATTTCCTTCATCAGTTTGGCCTGTGGGCTTGTCTGTGAGGCATTTTCTTGATTACTAATTATTTACGAGGCCGCAGCCCCCTGTGGGTGGTGCTGTCCCTGGGCTGGTGGCCCGGGCTGTCTTAAGGTAGTTGAGTAAGCAGCATTCCTCTGTGGTCTCTGCTTCAGTGCTTGTCCCCCAAGTTCCTGCTTGAATTCCTGCCCTGGCTTCCCTTAGTACTGGACTGTGACCTGTAAACCAAATAACCTTTCCTCCCCAAGTTGCTTTTGGTCAGTGTTTAATCACAGCAACAGAACAACAAACAAGGGCAGAAAATCAGAAGTGAGTATGGGCATATTATAGGAAAGGCTGGTCAGAAATAGGGCTATACCCCAGGTTGCATAGTGGAGAACCCACTGTTTTTCAGAGCCAGACAGTTGTTCCTGGTACACAGATGTGACTGGCTATGAAAGATCTATTTTTTCACCAACTTAAAACACCTGGATCTGGGGGAAAACAATGCAATTGGCATTTGAGAAATTGGATATTTGGAAGATCACATTATCAGTAGTTTTTCTCCCCATGGTCATTGTGAGACCAAATCAAAACTAGAATCCCAGTATGGTATATATACACTAGAAAGAAAGTAAAAATACATATGATTTACATAATTAATGTTTCTTTAAACTTTCATTTTTAGACCATTGTTTAGCTAGTGTTTGATAATCTTTCACTATGTTTTTATAATTTAAGAGGTCAGTCTTTAATTTTATTTCCAGATACTTAGAGGTGATTCATTGCAGTTCTCAAATATTAAGAACGTTGTTAATTCTCCATAATGTGTAAAATAATTTTATGCATGATTTTTGAATGCTAGTAAATTTTTGTAGATAAAACAGTTGCAGTTTTGTCAGATTTTGACTTCATATTAACCAGATATTTGTCATCTCTCTTTCATTCTCCCTTGTTCTCTCTGAGAAAGAATCTTGCTGTATAGCCCAAGCTTCCCTTTAACTCCCTATGTAGTCCAGGCTATCCTTGAACTTATGAATCCTGTTTCCACCTCTCAAATGCTGAGATTGGAAGCATGTGCCACCATATCTAGCTAGTACATTTTAAGAACCACCAAGTTTTCTTAGGATTCGCATATATTCAGATTTAGGCTTCAAGTCAACAGCACGAAAAGCAGTGCAATCTCTGTACTGACTTGTGAGACAGCTGGGAAAAAGAATAAAAGTTAGTTCAGAATGTGAAAAAGATATATATTCTGTTCGTTAAATGTAACAGTATATAGTGCTCACTATTAGTTTTATATGTTTCTCACTCAACTTAAAACCACGTCCTTTTGTTCCTTAACGCAATATAAAGGGAAAAATGAAGTCATGTTACTGTTTTTCTTCAGGGCACTTTGACAAGATTCAAAGGACTTTTGTGTTTCATTGTTTTTTAAAAAGTTTGTTAAGAAAAAATGTATGTTTTATTCTTTGCAGCCCTATTCGGTGAAAAGTGGGAGGGCTTCTGTGTATTTGTTTGTGATTGAGACAGTGTTTCCCTGTGTAGCTCTGATGGCCTCAAACTTAGTATCTCTTGCCTCAGTCTCCTGAGCACTGGGATTCCAGGCATGTGCTGCAATGCCTGACAAAAATTGAATTTTGAGGAATTCAGTGCCATTTTAAAGTGAACACTTTGCATTATGCTGGTAGAACAGTTTCATATAGTTACAGAAGGATGCATAGAGTTTTAAGAGCCTATCATAGGCTTATAAACTCTTAATTTTCACAGGGAGTGATGGCGCGTGCTTTTAGTCACAGCATTCAAGAGGCTGAGGCAGGTGATCTCTGTGAGATGGAGGCCATCCTTGTCTACATAATGAGTTTTCAGGACAGCTGGGGCTACAAGGAGACCCTATTTTTAAAAAAATGTAATTTCTCTCTATGTAGTTATTTGTGTGTCTTCAAGCATACCATACATCTAATATATTCCTGTTGAAGTATTTCTCTTACTGAACCCTTTCTGAAAAAAAAATTTGGTTTTTTGCAGCACCTTCACCAGTACAACCACCATTTTTCTCTGAATGTTCTTTGGGGTATTTTTCTTCAGCACCATCTATTTCTTTGCCTCCTCCAGCTCAGGTTTCAGTAAGTAAAAAAATGAGTGTGATAGCTAAGACAATTATTGTGTATCTTCTAACTTGTTTTGGAAAACTGGCATGTGATTAATGAATTTCTAGGTTTGACACATGCTTTAAAGAAAAATTGAAACCACTTACTTGAATTAATAGTTAGAAATATATAGAATAACAGATTATTGTCCAGCTATCCATTCGGTAGTTTTAACAATTGTTACTCATATAATTTCATGTTGACCTCAGTTTTTTCTTTCTTTTATTAGCTTCTTAAGTAACAGCTACTCAGGAAATTTATTCTCAAGCAGAATAAAAATTATCTATTGTGGATTATTACTTTTTAGGAATTGAGATTTAGATATAATATGCTTTTTCCTCTTTGGATGAGTATAGTTATTTTAACTTGAAACTTCAGCATAGTTCCTTTTTTCCAATCTTTTTTGTACTTTATTATTTATATTTTATGTGTATAACTATATTGCCTGCATGTGTGTAAGTGCACGTATGTTGTGCAGTGCCCTTGGAGGTCAGGCAAGGGCATTGAATTCCCCTGGAACTGGAGTTAACAGATGGTTGTTACTGTCATGTGGGTGCTGGGAATTGAACCTGGGTCCTCTGCAAGAGCAGCCATTGCTCGTAACTGGTGAGCCATCTCTCTGGCCCCCATCTTCTTGTTTGTAAGAAAATAGATTTATTGATTTGTGTGTTTGTGCCTGTGTCATAGCACATGGCATAGAGGTCAGAGGACAGCTCCTGGGAGATGGCTCCCAGAAATCATGTGGGTGACAGAAATCACAGTAGGTAAGAGGGAACATTTCCATTGGAAATTTCCTTAGTGAATGTCTTCTGTCTTCCTAGGAAGTTTCTGGTGAGGGAAATATTAAAGTAGAAAGAAAGATGACATTTTTTTCTTTGAAATGTTTTCTTTTGGGAAGGAGGAATGAATGAATTAAAATGCTAGGAGAATTGCTGGAAGGTCTTTGAAGCAAAAGCATTTCCATGCTAAGGAATTTTTGAAAATTAACTTTCCTATGTAACCTGTAAGAAGCCATTTTTACAAGGATTTTAAGAGAGTGATAATTTTCTGCTTGACATTTTAGATACTCTGTGAGACTCTTATTCCCAGAATCCCTTTGATTCCTAATTTTAATTTTAATGATTTTAATGCTGTCTTAAAAATTTTTAGTACTAAAATATTTTAATTTTTAAATATTTTTGACATATAAATACATGATTTTTGTTTTAGCGTTTCTACTTGATTTCATCTCAAGGGAATGAATGACCTTGTCTAATTCGATTCTCCTATACTTTCTAGAATTTTAAGTGGAAGTACAGGAACAGAGATGATTATGTTTGCACAATTACTTTGAAGTTCATCAGTGCTTTCACATATTGTTGATTCTTTTTTTTTAAATTGCAAAAGTAACATTTTCACGGTTGAATATTAAATTCTGGATTAGTTCTGAGATTTACAGAATACCTAGGTCACTGTACATAAAATGATATTTTAAGGGGGCTGGAGAGATGGCTCAGCAGTTAAGAGCACTGACTACTCTTGCAGAGGACCCAGATTTGATTCCCAGCACCCACATGGAGGCTACGAATCATCCTTAACTCCAGTTCCAGGGTAAGCGGAAGCCCTCTTCTGACCTCCGTGGCATTGCGTGACACGGGTGCACTCACATACATGCAGGCAATACACTTGTACACACAAAATAAAAATAATAAATAAAATATTTTAAAAAAATGATAACTTAAAATTTACTTCTTCAGATTTAATATTGCTTCAAAGATAAATATTTGAAGTCAGTAAAAATCTGCGTTTAAATTATTTCTTCTTTATAAAAAAAAACCAAACAGACTATGCCATCTTTGAGCCAGCCTTATGGGGAAGGCTTGTGTGTTTCTCTTGAGCCTCTACCTCCTCTACCACCTTTACCACCTCTCCCACCTGATGATCCAGAACAGCCGCCAAAACCACCTTTTGCAGATGAGGAAGAGGAGGAAGAAATGCTCCTTCGAGAAGAACTACTTAAATCTCTAGCAAATAAAAGAGCTTTCAAACCAGAGGTAATTTAGGCACCTGGCCCTCTAGGTGGTGCTCTTGAGCTTACTTTTAGGAGATGCCTACTTTTTTCTGGTTATTTGGGGTTTGTTGGGCTTTTCAGAAACGTAAAGATAAGTCTATTGCTCCTTTGCTCAAGATTTCTAAAAATGACAGAAATATCTTTTTATTCGGAGATATTTTATCTTTCTCTTATTAGGAAACATCCAGTAATAGTGATCCACCTTCACCTCCAGTTCTGAACAGTTCCCAGCCTTTGTCAAGAAGCAACCTATCAATAGTCAGTATTAATACCGTATCTCAGCCTAGGATACAGAATCCAAAGTTTCACAGAGGACCTCGTCTTCCACGAACTGTGATCTCGGTAAAAAGAAACATAAAACTTACTACTTTTATTCAAATAGCTCATGAGAAGTTTGTATGAATTTTTGCTCTCCTGTCCCTGTTGCCTAGTTTCTCTCTCTCTCTCTCTCTCTCTCTCTCTCTCTCTCACACACACACACACACACACACAAAGTTTTATATAAATACAAATTAAAAATTTTAAGAAGTTATTAATATAGAAAACTGGTAGAATTTGGTGCTAGTATGTTTAAGAGGGTGTTCTCCTGAGAGTGGTAGATATATTTGCCTCTCCTTTTTTTTAAAACAAAAATTGGTCCATTTTTCAACCTTTTCTTGGTCAATTTTAACAAATATATCTTTTCTACCTTTATTTTTTAGGTACTGGGGATTGAACTCGGGGCTTCATGAATGCTAGGAAAGCATACTGTCATAGAACTGTATCCTCAGATGTTTTTGTATTTCTTATTTTGACACAGGGTCTCATTAAATTGCCCAGGTAGGCTTTGAATTCTGTAATCTTCCTGATTCAGCCTCCAGAAGAGTCCTGGAGATTACAGATCCAACTGCCTTTAAAAAAAACTTTTTTATGACTTGTTCATTTTTTTCAACTGGTGATTGTAATAGAAGAATTGATTTATGTTTATTAAGAAAGTTTATCTGGGTATGGTGGTCCTCATAATCTCAGTACTCAAGTGATGGAGACTGGGGATCTTGAGTTCAAAGTCAGCCCAAGCTATATAGCAAGATGCTGATTCAAAAAAACAAGGGCTGAGGATGTAACTCGGTAAAATATTTGCCTAGCATGAACAAAAAGCTCCAGGTTCAGTCTCCAGTACTAGGGAAAAAAAAAGATTGGAATGACAATTTTTTTTTATCTTTATTTTCTTTTATCTTTATTTCCTTTCAGCTTTAAAGAAAAATAAATGGAGCAAAGTCAAGTTGAAATCTTGGCCCTATTAAGTAAACTAACTTTGACCAGTTACTCCATATTTGTAATTACATAGTCTAAAAAGTTATAAACATGATTTCTTTGATTTCAAGAGTTAATTTAGATAATATTGCAGTTCTTTTAAGAAATATTTTATTTATAATTTTTAGCCAGGTGTGGTGGCACATGCCTTTAATCCCAGCACTTGGGAGGCAGAGGCAGGCAGGTCTCTTTGAGTTCAAGGCCAGCCTGGTTTACATAGCTAGTTCCAGGCCAGTTGGGGCTACAGTGAGACCCTGTTTCAAAAAGACAAAAAAATATATATTTTACTTATAAATTTTATGTGCATGAGTGTATTGCTTGCAAGTGTGTAAGTATACCCATGTCGTGCAATGCCTGAGGAGTCAAAAGAGGATGTTGGATTTCCCTGGAACTGGAGTTGCAGATGGTTGTTAGCTACCTTGTGGGTGCTGGGAATTGAACCTGGGCCCTCAGCAAGAGCAGCCAGTACTCAACTGCTGAGCCATCTCTCCAGCCCTGATATTGTAATTCTTTATTTAGTTTCTTAATGGACAGAAAACATTGATGAAGGTGATCGTGGAAATAATGTGTTTGGCATATAACCTGTACTGGGAGAAAATCATGGAATATAAGCAGAAGATGCCGTACAATGTGTGGAGCTCATTATTTTTGTGTTTTGAAATACTAAGAGTTTATACATCTAGCTGTAGATTAATGTAAAAAAGTAGAAATGCTTTTGCTGCTGACTGGAGAGATGGCCTAGCATTTAAGAGCACTTGTTGCTCCTGCAGAGGACTAGAATTCAGTTCTAGCATCCGCATCAGGCAGGCAACTCAAAACCGCCTGTAACTCTTAACACTAGGCCCTCTTGTGGCCTCTGTGGCCACCTACACATATGTGGCCTATACACACACAAACGCATGTACACATACACATTTAATAAAAAAGAGCTGGGCATGGTGGTGTACAGCTTTAATCCCAGCACTTGGGAGGCAGAGGCAGGCGGATCTCTGTGAGTTCAAGGCCAGCCTGGTGTACATAGTGTGTTCCAGGACAGCTGGGACTACCGGGAGACCCTGTCTCAAAAAACACAAAAAGACAAAAAAAATGCTTTTGCTACCATGATTAACAAATACCTTGTTTTTGTAGCTTCCAAAACATAAATCAGTGGTTGTAACACTAAATGATTCAGATGATAGTGAATCTGATGGAGAGGCTTCCAAGTCAACAAATAGTGTTTTTGGTGGATTAGAGTCCATGATTAAAGAAGCAAGACGAACTGCTGAGGTATGTGCTGTAATGAAGGGTCAGAAGAAAGATGATGTTGTTAGCAGTTACTAAATTAATTCTTCCTAAAAATTAGATGTTAGAGTTAAGAACTTTTAAGTACGATGATTTGTGGAAAAAATGTTTGTGCTATTTGTGTTTTAATGAAGCATGTATAAATTTAGACATGATTTTACAGTTTTGAAAATCCCTATTGTTGGTGTTTCTAATTATCTACTTTCTTTTCAAAATAGTAAAATGGGTTGAATTTCCCTGTGTATAAAAGAAATTTGTTGTTCAGTATTGTATTATGTTAACAGAAAACAATTTTTTTAAATTTTATTAGTTTTAGTTTATATAAATGTAAAGTACACCTGTGTCATACAATGCCTGTGGAGGTCAGAAAAGGGCATTGGATTCCCTGGAACTGCAGTTAAGGGTGTGGTTGTTAGCCACATTTGGGTGCTGGGCACTAAACCCTGGTCCTGCAAGAGCAGCCAGTGCTCTTAACTGCTGAACCATTTCTCCAGCCCCCAGAAAAGTTTTAAACTAATAATGTCTATGGTTTAAGCTCTTTCAGATTTTTTTTTCTATGCCAATATGATTCATTTAAATGATTGTCAAATGACGGGTTTTGAGTAGGTAGATTATATAATTAATTGGGTAGTCGATGACCAGCTTTTTTTTTTTTTTTTTTTTTTTTTGAGACAGAGTCTCCCTGTAGCTCCAGTTGACCTGGAACTCACTATGTAGACCAGGCTGGCCTTGAACTCACAGAGATCCGCCTGCCTCTGCCTCTCAAGTGCTGGGATCAAAGGCATGCGCCACCCTCAGCTTCAACCAGAATTTTTTTCAAGACTGAAGACATTACTGTTATTTCTAACTATATTAGTATATACTTGAGTATACCATAAAATACAAATATTAGTGTGTAATTTTTAAAAGTTGTTGATCTGATTAATTTTTTTAGCAAGCTTCAAAGCCAAAAGTACCTCCAAAATCTGAAAAAGAAAATGATCCTTTGCGAACACCTGAAGCTTTGCCTGAAGAAAAGAAGATAGAATATAGATTGTTAAAGGAAGAGATTGCCAAGTAAGTGGGATTTTATGTAATTGGCTTTGAATGCAAGTGTTTTCTAAGCTTCCTTTCATCTATATAATATAAACTATTGACACTGGGATGTGAGTCATGGTAATTTTATCTTAGATGCAGAGTTGAAAAGAAGCAGAGTCTGGTGATTGATCATCCGTAGACTCAAATAAAATGAGGTACTGAGATAGAAGGTTAGGAAAAGATAAAAGTACCCAAAGAACTGCTTGAGTCTTGCATATTGCTTATGTGCAATGTGATTAACCATACGTATTTTAATAGAATATATTTTGAAGAAAAGTCTCAGTTTATTCTTTGGCTTAATTCATCTCTCTCTCATTTTAGTCGTGAGAAACAACGTTTGATTAAATCAGATCAGCTGAAGACGAGTTCATCATCCCCAGCAAACTCTGATGTAGAAATTGATGGGTTTGGCAGAATAGCAATGGTTACTAAGCAGGTTGCAGATGCAGAAGCAAAACTTAAGAAACACAAGTGAGTCTCATTGTCTGATTAAACACATTATGTAAAAGAGAGACACTCAGCTGAGCATGTGGTTGTGCCCACCTTTAATCCCAGCGCTTAGAAGGCAGACACAGTGTATATATAGAGAGTTCCAGGCCAGATGCGAACACAGGGAAACCCTGACACACACACACACCCCAAAAAGGCTCACTGTTAAGAGTACTTAACTGGTTTTGCAAAGGACATTGGTTTGGTTTCTCAGCACTCACATCAGACAGCTCCTAACCACAAACACACATGTAAAATAAGTAAACATGTAACTAAATGTGCCTAGTTTAGAGAGGGTATCTGTTTATAAAAAGAATGTGTCTGTATATAGAGAAAAATAGATTTGTGTATGTCATTTAATACAATAGGGTTATGAATTCTTTTTTGTTTAGTTTTCATATTTTGGTCATTTTGAAACGTGTTCTCCCTGTAGCCCCAGCTGGCCTGGAACTCACTATGTAGACCAGGCTGACCTTGGACTCACAGAGATCCACCTACTTCTGCCTCCCCAGTGCTGGAATTAAAGGCATCACCACCGCTCCGCGTATGAATTCTTGCGTGTGGTAGAACTACAGCAGTTTTTCATTTATTGAATTATTTTTGTAAAAGATTAGTTAATGTTTTAAATAATGATACCAAGACTTTGAAGGAAAATTGTGAGACTGAAATACGGTTTATCCATTGCTAAATCATTTATGAAACTCCTTTTTAGAAATTTTCTAAAAACCTCTAGCATATTTTTAAAAACACCTTCATTGAAAGTATATTTTTATTTTTTTAGAGAAAACACATTCACCTAACATTTGTGGGGTGTGTGTGTGTGTGTTCTTGTGTATATGTAGTCCTGGCTATCTCGGAACTCACTAAGGTAGATTAGGCTGCTCTCAAATTTGTGGCATTTTCTGCCTTTTGCTCCAAAGTGCATGTGCCACCGTGTTCCACTTTTATTATTAAAGATGGGCTTGATTGTTGGGAATAGTCATTATGTAGTCTGATGAATATGGTACATTGTGTCTTATGGTGTTACACAGTGAATATTAAGTTATGGTTATTAGTTTCTTACATGTTTTTGTGTAATTTCTAAGTGGTGTTTGAAATGTAAAGAAAAATTATTTATTATTTTTATTTTATGTGTGTGCTTGTATTGCCTGTGTGTAGGTAAGTACACCTGTGTCATGCAATGCCTGTGGAGGACAGAAGAGGCTTTTGGATCCCTTGGAACTGGAGTTATAGACAGTTGTTGGCTGTCATGTGGGTGCTGGGATTCCAACTTGGGTCTTCTGCAAGAATAACCAGTGTTCTTAACGGCTGAGCCATCTTGCCAACTCCTGAAATTTTTATATGTATAAAACCACATGAACATATTGACGATACAGTTGAATATATTAGCATATGATTGATAGAAATAATTATGCCTTTTTTTTAGGCATCCATTTTTTCTACTCTCACCACCCTGAAATCTTCAGTTGATGAAAAGCAAACTTGTTTTAATGACTCAATATTTTTGAGTTTTGTTCTGATGAGTCGCTTTTAGTTCTGCAAACAGAAGGGAGAAGTTGAATGCAAAGTTAATAGGACTTTTTGGTAGCTTACAGTTTTCTTGAACTTCAGCCATGATAAATATAGCTCAGGCTGGCCTTGAATTCATAATATAGCTAAGGATAACATTGAACTACTGATTCTCCTGTTTCTACTCTTTAAGTGCTAGGATTATAGGCACATGCTACAATGTACTGGGGATAGAGCCCACAGGCAAGCATCAACTATATCCCCATATATCTAAATTTTTTAATTTTAAAATTTTTGGTCTTTTGAGACAGGGACTCTTTGTAGCCATAGCTGGACTGAAAACTTGCTGTGTAGACCAGGCTGGCCTTGATCTCACAAAGATCTGCCTTCCTCTGCCTCCTGAGTACTGGGATTAAAGGGATGAGTCACCATGCCCAGCCCCCATTCCTAAATTTTAACTATAAGTTAATTGTGATTAATTTGTTACTAAACAGATTAATGATTTTTTTTTTTTTTTGGTCTTTTTGAGACAGGGTCTCCCTGTAGCCCCAGCTGGCCTGGAACTCACTGTGTAGACAAGGCAGGCCTTGAACTCACAGAGATCCACCTGCCTCTGCCTCCCAAGTGCTGGGACTATAGGCGTATGCCACCACGCCCAGCTCAGATTAATGATTTTTTTTAAAAATATTTATTATTTTTATTTAATGTGTATGTGTATTGCCTGCATGTATGTGAGTACATCTGTGTGTACAATGCCTGTGGAAGTCAGAAGAGGGTGTTGGATCCCCTGGAACTGGTGTTATGGATGGTTGTTTCTGAACCTGGATCCTCTGTAAGAGCAGTCAGTGCTCTTTTTTGGGGGGCGGTCCTTTTGAGACAGGGTCTCCCTGTAGTCCCAGCTGGCCTGGAACTCACTATGTAGACCACGCTGGCCTTGAACTCACAGAGATCCACCTGCCTTTGCCTCCCTAGTGCACTACACCCAGCAAGATTAATGACTTTAAAAAAAAATGTGTTTTATTTACTCTTTTTATTTTATGTGTATGAGTATATTGCCTGCATGTGTGACAGTCAGAAGAGGGCCTCGGATCCCATGTGACTGGGAGTTAGGGATAGTTGTTAGTTGCCATGTGGGTGCTGGGAATTGAGCTTGGGTTCTTTCCAAGAGCAGTCGGCACTCTTAACTGCTAAGCCATCTCTCCAGCCCCAATGATGTTTTTTTTTTAATTTTATATATTATTTTTATCTTATGTGCATGCATGTATTGCCTGCATGTAGCTAAGTGCACCCATGTCGTCCAGTGCCTGCGGAGGACAGAAGAGGCTGTCGGATCATCTGGAACTGGAGTTTCAGACAGTTGTTAGCTGCCATATGGGTGCTGAGATTTAAACCTGGGTCTTTTGCAAGAACAGTGTTCTTAACCACTGAGCAATCTCTCCAGCCCCCAGGCCCAATGATTTAAAAAAAAAAAAAAAAAAAAGCTAGCCGGGCATGATGGCATATGCCTTTAATCCCAGCACTTGGAAGGCAGTGGCAGGCTGATCTCTGTGAGTTTGAAGCCACCCTGGTCTACATAATGAGGTCTAGGCCAGCTGGGGCTATGGGAGACCCCGTCTCAAAAAAGCAAGCTTCAAATGCTCATCTGTAGGTAATTAAGGAAAAGGAGTAGGTATTTATAGCCTCATTTCTTACATTATAAATCCAGGTTTTCTTTTTTATAAATCATGAAAACTAATAATTGGGATTTTTTTTTAATGAGGTCACAGAAACATCTTAAGGAGTTAGTATATATGTTCTGTTTCCTTTTGAATAAAGCATTAGATAATTAGTATTCTGATCAAACTGTATTTTGTGTATAGATATGTTTGGTTTTTAGTATTTATCTTGTGCTAACTGTATTTCATTATGTCTAAAATGCCTCATCAGTTTATGAACTACTAAAAGAAAAATAATGCTAGTTAAAATGTTTTTCCTCATCTTATCACATAGTCTCTGTCTTTGTGATTCAATCTAATGCCAGTAGTTGTTGCTGTTGAAATATGGTGTCTTTCTGGGAAAGATTCTTTTATTTTTTTTAACAGCATTAATGTTGTAGTTTAAAAGTTCCAAAATCTTTTATGTTTATTCATAGTTTTGTGTTTTTGTCTGTTCTTCTCAGTTCAAAACTTGTGTATGTCTGAGCTTTTGGTCTCTTCATCTTTGTTTTGCTTTAGATAAAATGGGTTAGAGATTATTTATAAATTGACTAAATGCGCTGAATCATGTTTATTGGACATTTGTATATTAGGAGTATTACCAATAAAGCTAAACATAGTAACTTTCTTAGTCCTCATTCAGGGTCCAGTTAGAGTCAGATTCAGCTGCCATGGAACATTTATTATAAGCTTTTCAGTTGTAATTTATGCTGACTCAGGCTTAACGTATTTTTTTTAAAAATGGTCAAACCCATAGTTGTTTTCATAAAATAAAACTGAATACCTGTATAATAGATGAATGTAGAAATGCTTTTAAATTCTCATTTGCATATTATACATAACATTTTTAAAATATGTCATTACTACTTTGAAAATTTTCTGTTCTCACAGTGCAGTCTCCTTGTTCAGAAAACATTAATAAAAATTTTGTTATTTTACACTTAGGATCCTCTTGATAAAAGATGAATCAGTTCTAAAGAATTTAGTATTGCAAGAAGCCAAGAAGAAAGAATCTGTTCGAAATGCTGAGACAAAAATTACAAAACTTACTGAACAGCTTCAAGCAGCTGAGAAGATTCTCAGTGTTAACAGGATATTTTTGAAGAAGCTTCAGGAGCAAGTAATATTTTTTAAAAAGTTACGCCAGGCTGGCCTTTAATTCACAGAGATCTGTCTGCCTCTGTCTCCTGGGATTAAAGGCATGGGCTACCATGCTGGGCTTATTGTGCATTTTTGTAGGCCATTTTTTTCTGTAAAACAAGGAATGAAATTAAAGCCATCAAAATATCGTAACCTGTAATTTAATTTTGTGTGCATGAGTGTATTGCCTGCCTGTATGTAAGTGCACGTGTGTTGTGCGGTACCCTTGGAGGTCAGAATAGGGTGTTGGATTCTCTGGAACTGGAGTTACAGATGATTGTTTGCTGCCATGTGGGTGCTGGAATTCGAACCCAGATCTGCAAAAACAGCCAATGCTCTTGACTGGGGAGCCATCTCTCTAGCCTCTGTAACCTGTAGTTTTTTATTGAAGCATAATATTGGAATACTTTAACTTTTAGTTAAATATCATTAAAGCTTTTATATTTGAAAAGATGTTCCGTAAGATTTTCATCTACATCTTCTGTTTTTTTTTTTTGTTGTTGTTGTTGTTTTCAGATCCATAGAGTTCAACAGCGTGTTGCCATTAAGAAAGCTTTGACTCTGAAATACGGAGAAGAGCTTGCTCGGGCAAAGGCAGTGGCTAGTAAAGAACTAGGAAAACGTAAACTGGAGCAAGATTGCCTTGGAGTAAGTTATTTGTAGAAATATTTTTGGAAAGTAGAAGGTTTTTATGATACTTCTGAGGCTAAGAAATGTATAAAGTAGCTCAAACTCTCTTGGAAATTCAAAGAGAAGAAGATTACAACTTTGTTTTTAAATGACATCCACATTTTTGTTTTTAAAATTTTCTTTGGCTTTAGTGTTTGGTCAACTAGCAAAACTGTTACTGACTTGTTAAACTCTGTTTTGCTGTACTTGCCAGTTTGGTTTTGTGATGTTGGTTATTGTATTTATCATAGTGATATCACAGTTTTGAAAACTGGTGTATAGAATCAGAGTGATATAAAATATTTCGTTTTTCTCTCCCAGCCTAACAAAATGATGAGACTGGATAATTCTCCAATATCAAGTCCAAGAAAGCATTCAGCAGAACTAATTGCTATGGAGAAAATGCGATTACAAAAGCTAGAATATGAATATGCCCTGAAAATTCAAAAATTAAAAGAAGCCAGAGCCCGTAAAGCAAAGGAACAACAAAATATTGTTCCAGTTGTGGAAGAGGAGCCTGAATTTTCTTTACCTCAACCCTCACTTCATGATCTGACACAAGATAAATTAACTCTGGACACAGAAGAAAATGATGTTGATGATGAAGTTTTGTCAGGTTCAAACAGAGAACGAAGAAGGTCCTTCTTAGAGTCTAATGCTTTTACTAAACCTAATCTTAAGCACACTGATACACCTAACAAAGAATGCATAAACAAACTTAGTAAAAGTGCTGTAGAAAAGCCAGAACTTTTTCTAGGGCTAAAAATAGGTGAATTACAAAAATTGTATTCAAAAGCTGACAGCTTAAAACAATTGATTTTAAAAACGACCACAGGAATTACTAAAAAGATCTTGCATGGTCAGGTAAGTGAATATTTCATATTCTCTATAAGATCTAGAATTTACTTACACTTCACTAGCTTTATGGAATTACTGTGATTTTGGTTGCTTTTTGCAGGAGATTTCTGTGGATATGGATTTTGTTACAGCACAGATTAAAACAACAGAAGTGAAACCATGTCCTTTTAGACCCTACCATAGTCCTCTTCTAGTTTTTAAATCCTACAGGTAAGAAAAGATTCGATTAAGTTTGAATTTCAGGATTACTCTGGCTCTTAATAGTTTATGTTGAATATTTGTTAATAAAAAAGCATTTAGTCATGGTCCCTGGAAAATGGACATGTCTTTTTATGAGAATAAAAGTATCTTGCTGTTATACACAGGTTGTATCAGTAAATGAGGTTTAGCTTGCTCCTTGGGTTCATCAGTTCTCTTCAAATTCCAGTTTCTGACTTCTAATGAAATTAGGAATTCTAGATTTCTATTAGGTATTTTAGGAATAGAGTCTTGTGAAAATTTCTATTTTATTTATTTATTTTTTATAAATGTAAGTGTGTGCCACTGTGCCTGCATGCACCTAAAGATTTTTAATTTGGAGATTTTAATTGTACCACTCCAGTCATCCTTAGCTAACTTTTATAAAGTTGATTTAAACATTCTCAAATGATTAATGTCCCAAAACATTTTCAGAATACTAGAAGTTGTGAGGCTGTTAAATAGGTGTAGTTTGATAATAGGCATAAAACACTTACTAAGTAAAGTACTTAGTTCTGTAGGCTTGTTTTATTTCCCCCACTTTTTTTTCTTTTTTATTTGAGATGGGGTTGCCTTGAATGCACTATGTAGCGTAAGCCTCCCTCCAGCTTGTGATCCTTCTGCCACAGCCTCCCAAATGCTGAGATTATAGTTGTGCAGCACCTTACCTAGCTTTCTTCTTGAAATCTCATGTTTCCATTATCAAAGTAGCTTATTCCTACTATTTATATTCTGGCTGTTTCTAGTTATTTTTTTTTACTGTTGATTTAATCAGATAAGCAGCTTAAAGTATAGAAGTTTTAAGTTAAAAAGAAAAATTGAAGAAACCTAGGTCTCTGAGAAATGTTTATGGAACATGATGTGTCTATCCATTCTCTTCCTAGATTTAGTCCATACTATCGAACCAAGGAAAAGCTTCCCCTAAGTTCAGTATCATACAGTAATATGATTGAGCCAGATCAGTGTTTCTGCCGTTTTGATTTAACAGGAACATGTAATGATGATGATTGTCAGTGGTGAGTAGTTTTTAATGAAAAGGAAACTTAGAGACTCATGGTTGCTTAACTTTCGTAAGTGCATGATTATCTTTTTTTGTGCTGTCATTTTATTTTAGGCAGCATGCACAAGACTATACACTTAGCCGAAAACAGCTGTTTCAGGATATTCTCTCATATAATCTGTCTTTGATTGGCTGCTCAGAGACAAGCACTGAGGAGGAAATTGCTTCTGCGGCAGGTGTGTAAAGACTTCTTGTTGAATTTAGGAAATAAAAAAAAAAATTGTATAGACAGTTGTTGGCTTCTTTTGATTTTTTTATTTCCTGTGTATGAATGCCTTGCCTACATGTATATAAGTGCACCATGTACTTGCAAACCTGCGGAGGTCAGAAGCAGGTGTCCATTCTCCTGGAACTGGAGTTACAGATGGTTGTTAAGACACCATGTGGGTGCTGGGAACTGCACCCAGGTCCTCTGCAGGAGCAGCCAGTGCTCTTAACAGCTGAGACCGAGTTGTTGACATTTTTAATAATTCAACATATTCATCTATGACACCTACCTAGATCTGCTCTATCCAATATACCAGACACTAACTACATGTTGTAATTGTAAACTTAAAGCCCGGTTTGTCAATCTTATTAGCCATACTTGAGTGCTCAGGAACCTGTGTTGCAGTGTTGGTCAGTAGGGCAGCAGAGCTTTAAAACATTTCCAGGATTGCAGAATATTCTTCAGACAGAGCCTGTCCAAATAGTTCGGTTTATTTAGGAAAAAATATTATCCTATTTGTATAGGCATTTTACTAATGATTTTACATAGGCCCTATTTTCTTCTACTGTTTTTAAAGGTATAGGAGACTATAAATTAACATGCTTTTTTTTTGTTTTGAAATCCATAATGAAATAGATAGTACTTTATTATAAATTTTTATATTATAGAAATGATAGATTATTAGCAAACATTGTGAATTGGCTTTGTTAAAATTTTCTCCCAGATTTTGGTGACAAATAGTCTTTTGGAAGTAAGGGAATTGATATTTATTAAATTTAGTGTTATCACTTTTTAGAGTGATTATAATGTCACTGAATAAATTTGATCATTCCTGGTTTGAGCCTTCAACTTCTACATAATAATTTAGTTCATTTTAGGAAAAATCTCCCATCACCACCAGTTTATACTTAGTTGTATGGTATGGTAGGAGGGATTTGTCATACTAGTTAAGCTAACATAGCCTTGCTTTTTCATAGTTCATAGGAGTTACTGACTAGTACCATATATGCTGCTTTAATTCTTATTATTTTTTGCATCATACTTTTAGCCTCGTTGTTACAGTTTTAAAAAATTAGTGTTTCTCTTCATTTTCAGAAAAATATGTTGAAAAACTTTTTGGAGTAAACAAAGATCGAATGTCAATGGACCAGATGGCTGTTCTCCTTGTTAGCAATATCAATGAAAGTAAAGGTCATAGTAAGTCAGTCTCTCTCTCTCTCTCTCTCTCTCTCTCTCTCTCTCTCTCTCTCTCCTCTCTCCTCCACCCCCCCCGTGTGTGTGTGTATATCCTTCTAAAGATGACCTTTAGTTTCTGTATGATTGTAGACTGTGGGGGAGTTTTTATTCTTAAATAAAAGAATGTTTTTTACTACCATGATCAAAATAAATGTGTTGTTTTGAAATACTTTTTGAGTAACCTTCAAATCAATAAAAAAAAAAAAACCTAGTTATTACATCAGTCTTCTGCTTACACTATAGCACCTCCATTTACAACCTACAAAGATAAGAGAAAATGGAAGCCAAAGTTCTGGAGAAAACCTATATCAGAGAATAGCTTCAGTAGTGATGAGGAACAGTCTACTGGACCAATTAAATATGGTAAGTTATCCAATTCGAGATCCAAACTTTTTAAGATGTGGTGTTGTATCTTTATATGCTGCTAATTTTTCTAACTTTATGTGTATGAGTGTATTGTCTGCATGTGTATAAATGCACCCATATCGTGCAGTGCCTGTGAAGGTCAGAAGAGGGAATTGGATCACCTGGAACTGGACTTATGGACTATTGTTAACCAACATATGGGTACTAGAAATTGAACCTGGGTTTTCTGCAAGAGTAACCAGTGCTCTTAACCACTGAGACGTCTAGATCTCTAGGCCCTGTATGGTTTTTTTTTTTTTTAATCCTAGCACTCAGGAGTCAGAGGCAAGCAGAACTCTGTGGGTTTGAATCTAGCCTGGTCTGTAGCTCAAGTTCAAGGCTAGCCAGTGGTATATAGGGAGACCCTACCACCAAAACAAACAAAAAAGAAAAAACAAAACTGCTATCATTGAATTTTTTTTTTTTAATTCTCTTACCTGTGATACCCTTGATGTTTACAGTGTAGATATTCATTGAGCAGGATTAGTCCTGGCATTGCAGGATGTTTTCCTTCATGCTCTTTGCCCTGTAAATGGAAGCAACACTCAGTAATAAATATAGCTGCCTCATGTATTTGCAAACATGCTTGAGGGGTCAGCAAAGCATTACTGCCCACATTTGAAAACTACTACCTCGCCGGTGTCATGGAGAGCACATGTTCTCTTCTGCTTTTTCTTTGAGACAGTGTTTTCTGATATGTGCAGGTGCACTTACATATATGCGGTAAGTGCATATATGTAGATTTTTAAAAATATTTTATTTATTATTTTTATTATATGTGTATGAGTGTATTGCCTGCATGTAGGTAGGTGCACCTGTGTTGTGCAATGCCTGTGGAGGACAGAAGAAGCCATCAGATCCCCTGGAACTGGAGTTATGGACAGTTGTGGGTGCTGGGATTCAACCCGGGGTCTTCTGCAAGAACAACCATGTTCTTAACCACTGAGCCATCTCTCCAGCCCCCATATATGTAGATTTTTTAAAATATCTTTTTTTTAGAAATCAGTGAATGGATGTCTCATTGTTGAGCACATACAGTCTCATGTACTTATTTGTGTTAATGTGGCAGTACTCCAGTTTATTTTACTTCCTTTATTTATTTAGTCTTCCTGAGACAGGGTCTCCCTGTAGCTCCATCTGGCCTGGAACTGGCCTCAGTCTCACAGAGATTCACCTGCTTCTTTCTCCTGAGTGCTGAGATTAAAGGCATACACCACCATGCCTGGCCTAGTACTGTAGTTTACATATAGAAGGAATCATTTTTGTCAATTTTAACTATACATTTTTTCCCTCCCTTTCTCCCCTCCCAAGGCATAATCTTGTAGCTAAGGCTAGCTAAGGCTGGCCTTGAACAACTCAGCCTCCTTCCTCTACTTCCTGATTGCTGGGGTTTCAGGTGTGCATCATCATGACTAAATTTTAACTTTGAATTAAGTTATTTTTTAAAAATGTCTTTTTGGATTTATTTTTGTTTTATGTGTATGAGTGTTTTGCCTGAATATATGTAAGTTCACCTGTGCATTCAATGCCCATGTAGGCCAGAAAAGGATGTCATATCTCCTGGAACTGTAGTTGTAGATGGTTGTGAGCTGCTATGTGGGTGCTGGGAACCAAACCCAGGTCTTCTGCAAAGTAGCCAGTGCTCTTAGCTGCAGAGCCATCTCTCCAGCCCCTGAATTCTTAAGTTCAAATTCACAATTGATTTATCATTGCTATCACTTGCCCTTAATGTACTTAACACCATTAATACAGTTCTAGTCTGCTAGCAGACCACACTTACAGTTTATTAGCAAAGTCCTATTTATTTCTGTTGTTCTGACTGTATGTAATAACACCATTTTTCATGGTCAGAAGTGTCTAGGTTTAATGATAAATTGCATGACAATATGCCTTACAATATACTTACTGTCATTAGAATATTAGAGGACCAAATATTTAAGACCCAATTTTTTTCCCTTGAATTGTTAAAAAGGTTAACAATTTTTCTTACAGCTTTCCGACCAGAGAACCAAATAAATGTTCCAGCTTTGGATACTGTTGTTACTCCAGATGATGTTAGATATTTTACCAGTGAAACTGATGACATTGCTAATTTAGAAGCAAGTGTACTTGAAAACCCTTCTCACGTACAACTTTGGCTCAAGCTTGCATACAAGTGCTTAAATCAAGATGAGGGGTAGGTTAGCTTCAATTGTTGTGAAATATTTGTACCTTTATTTTTTATTTATTTCGCCTGTGGTTATCAGGTTTCTTTCCCATTGGTAGAGTCTCATTTTTGAGACAGATTCTTGTTCTTGTTTAGGCCGCCTTGAAACTCATTATGTGGCTCAGGAAATCTTGTGCCTCAGCCTCCAAAGTGCTGAGATTGCAAGTGTGAGGTACCACTCTGGGCTGAGTTTTTTATTTTATTTTATTTACTTTTTAGACAGGCTTTCTTATAGCCTAGATTGTCTTTGAACTCACTGTGTAGCTGAGGATGACCTTGAACCACTGGTCTTCCTGCTTCTACTTCCCAAGTATTACAAGGGACGTAGCATTATACCAGGCTTTGAACTTTGTTTTGTTTTTGACAAGCCAAATTTTTTTTTTTTAATTGTAGTTGAAAAGTTTATTGGTAAAACTTCATTTTGTATCCATGACTCTGGATTTGTTATAAATTATACTGAAGTTTTTAGGATCTTAGTGACAGTGCATTGATTTAAGAAAGCTCAAGTAGTTATAATCACTTAAAGGTTTTATTTCTTGTGTATGTGTGCACATGTACCTGTTACGGGTCTGTATACTCAAGTGCAGGTGCTCTTGGAGCTGGAGTTACAAGTGGTTGTGGACTTCTTGACAGGGTGCTGGGAACCAAACTTGAGTCCTCTGCAAAAGCAGTACAAGCTCTTAACTGCTGACCATCTCTATCCCCCAGTTACAACTCTTTGTAAAATTTTATGAGTGGAACAGGTTAAATTTTAGATTAATTTACAATGGCGATTTAAGTTATCTAACAGCTTTCAAATTCTAATGGAATTGATTGATTTAACTCACAACTAATTGTTTCCATTACAAATTGCTTACTTTAATTTCCACTTTTTTGATAGGAGAGACATGCAAGCCAGGTAAAATATTTTTTATAACCATAATTTTTAAAGTATAATAATTCTGTTTTTTTTAAATAGGATATGGTGATAGACCTATCTTAAAACTTAATATAAAATCTGTTAAACAAGGCAATACTGCACAGTGCTAATAAACCACACATACCTGAACATAGTACTTATTTAACTTTCCTTGTGTGCCATTTCCATTTGAATGGGATAAGTTACAGTGTTTTCTTTTCTGACTCATTTATTGAGCAAAGGATAAAAGAACTGTACATTATTTTATGAATAGGATCAGGAGAGAGAATTATCTTTTCTAAAAGATAGCAAGCCCTTGAACATTGAAAAGAACTATTATATTGAAAGCTTTGATATTTTGTGCTGGCAGTAGCTGGCCTTGAGAGAGTTGATTAACTTTTCCTATTTCCAAACAGTATGAATCATAAAAGGTATTGCTGAATATGGACATAGAGCACATTTGAAGTTGATAATTCTAGTGGTTTTGTAACATTTTTTTTCCTGTGGTAAAAATGCTTACTGAATATTCACTTAAAAAGAAATTAATGGGTCTATGGGAAATCAGGACCTTTTGATTTTTGATAGACATGATTTTTAAAATCCTCATTACTCTGTCATAGTGACTCTGGCTTCTTGATAAGTTCTGATAGAAAGTGAAACTTTAAATAGGCTTATTATTAGCCTACTTAAATGTTAAAGCATTTTTAAAAAATAATTTATTTAGTTTTTGCAGTTAGTGACTGAACCCAGGACCATGCACCTGCATGCTGAGCTGCTTTCTTAATTCTTTAAGCATTTTGTAATTAAATACTTTTTCCCTTTCTTTTAAACATATAGACTGTGTTCAGAATCTTTGGATTCTGCTTTAAATGTGCTGGCTCGAGCGTTGGAAAACAATAAAGACAATCCAGAAATCTGGTGTCATTACCTCAGATTGTTCTCAAAAAGAGGAACTAAGGAGGAGGTGCAGGAAATGTGTGAAACAGCTGTTGAATATGCTCCTGATTATCAAAGTTTTTGGACGGTGAGTAGAAAAGATAACAGTCACAAGGTTGGGATATATATATGCTCATAATTCCTTAGGACATCTTAAATATTGGCATGTAGTTTAATAGATTATAGGCTTGATCTGGATGTAGATTTACTGACTGACTTCCAGGTTTCATTCACTTCTGTCAAAATAAATTTTGACTAAACAAGAGAAATTATTTAATGAAGACATGATTGTTTTGGTTCAATTTACTGGTAAGGACAAAATATAAAATCATTAGGCATTAAACTATTACAGACTTTTAATTTTGGCAAAGTTTACTGTAGGTCTTGTAAAACATGAAAATTTTGTTTTTTATAAAAATTTCTCCTGTTGTATAAAACTTTTGAGTTCTGAGAAACAGTTTAGACTAAATTAGGAGTATATAAAAGATGTAATGATTTTCATTATATTTGTTTGGTATGTATTTATTTTTGAGATAAGGTCTCCCTACAGCCCTAGCTGGCGTAGAACTCCCAATGTAGACCAGGCTAAACTTGATGTCACAGAGCTCCTCCTGACTCTGCTTCCGAGTGCTGGGATTAAAGGTGTAAGCTACCTCGCCTGGTGGTTACATGTTTTGATATAATTTCTATTGCAGGTTTTATTCTTTTTTTTCCTTTCTCATTTTATTTTTTTAATAAATAATTTATTTATTGGGAATTTCATACATGCATATAAGGTGTTTTGATCAAGTCCATGCCCACTCCCTCCCCTCCAACTCCTCCCATATCTCCCCATTACTTTCTGATAAATTCATGTACTCTTTTCTTCATCTTTGATTTTTTATTTTTAAATGGGGCTTTTGGCTACTCTTAACATTCCCCCTTCTGAAGAAGTAACCCTAAAATCTTTTAAGGATTAGATACAAGCTCCCAAATATTTTCGATATTTTTGGCTTTTGGAACAGAGTAGGTTGCTAAGAGGCCCAAGGACATTGTCAGTTTTGGCCAAGAAACTGGCTACTTTTCTTTGGAGTCTTTTTACTGTAACTGCCTAGCCAATTCCTACCTCCTATTATCATACCCTCCCCTGAAGAGGTTACCCAAATTTCCAATAGGGAATTGGGACACAGACCGCTCTGGCTTCTTCCATGGGACGCAGGGTGAGGCAATTGGAGTACCCCTTCAGTGGGTCTAACTAAAAGACTCCCAAATTGCATAATTCTTATCTCAAGGAGGAAAAGAAAGTCTTTGAATCATGAATAGGAGATGTGAAGGAGAAGTAAAAGCAAGAGTAGTAGCATTACAAGTTCT